AGGACCAGCCCGGCCCGCGCGAGTGCTGTCTTGTGCCCCTGGCCCGGGCGCGGGGGGCTGCCCTGGCTTCTCCCACTTGAAGCACGGGGACAAGCTGGGCACGTCCCGCCGGGCACCGACACTGACACTGCGCTGGCACCGCATGGGCGTAGGCTGTTGCCTACAAAACCAGTCAGCCTCTGAAAGGTGGCACCTGCCCTACCTGCTCCCTGACTGTAGGAAGAGGCGAAGCGCAGGGTCCTCCGGCTTCGTGAGGGTCAAAGCGGGGAGAAGGGAACTGAACTGGTCCAGCTCCGGGCCGACAACCCGGACCGCAACGCAAGGAAACAAGGAGGTGGGTGAGACTGGATGAGGTCTCTTCCCTCTCCGCCTCCCCAGCTGCTATAGGACTGTTCACTGTATTTTCCAGGCCGTTACTAGAGCCTGAGGGTCCTGGGAGAACCTTGTACCCTAGAAAGGCAAATAACTTTCATTTTTTCAAACTAAGGACAGCTCCCAAATTGTGGTCTACCCCAGTCAGTGGTGACACATAGGGGGTGCACGTGCATCCCCCTGAGAGCGCACCCCCTGTCAGGCTGTGCTCCCTGTTTAGCTGGCAGGCAGGGAGAGGCGGGAGCACCAGTGCCCCCACTGCGAGTGCCAGCTGGGAGTGGGGCCGCCAGCAAAAGCGGGATCAGCTGCCAGGGGACCCTGTGTCTCTGACTGGTGTCAGGGGGGGCACATGCGCCCCCCCCTCCCGGCTCAAGAGGCCCCAGTCACCCATGACCCCAGTGTTTCTCAACCTGTGGGCCACGGCCGAAAATTGGGTTACAAGAATATATAAAAGGGTTGCAAATAAACTTTAAAAGTGGATTCTCCTTTAAAGGAGAAAAACATAGGAAACAGGTTTTTCCTTGCAAGCCTACAAGGGGCTGCTTGGGGGCCCCCTGCTCTACACCCCCCACCCCACACACTGTGGGGCAGTGGGGCAGGAGTGAGGGACACTGAGCTGGGACTGGCCATCAATGTTTACAAATGGGTCCTCGTATAAAAAAGGTTGAAAACCACTGGTCTACACCATATATTCCAATGGTCTAGGGAAAGCTTTTCAGTTGCATGGAAAAAGCCTCTTTTTTTTGTTTCCAGCTGTTAACTTGTATTTAAAGACTGTAAAATACATTAAGTAGTTTGCCACTATTACTTTCCCTGTAATCAATTACTGTAGGTGTCACAAGAATGTTTTAAGATCTCCAAGAAGAGGGATGGTGCCGGCATGAAAATGACGTTGTGCATCCTATAAATAGATTGTGAAGGGGCGTAAAACATACGTGCCATTATTTTTAGTTAGTTAATGATTAGCTAATAAGCCATCCAAAGTGGTTAGTTTCCACAATAGTTTCCAAATATTTGAAAGACTGCCATAAAGGAAAGAGAAAAACTGTTCTACCTTGCCACAAACTTCATAAATTTAAGATTTTTTTCCCTGAGACTTAGTACAACTGTACAAACAGTGGGGGAAAAAGGAAGAAGTTGCTCCTAGGAAGCTATGGAATCTCCTTCATTTCAGGTTTTGAAGGAGCTGGATAGGCATCTACGTGGGATGGTTTAGATATAGCACATCCTGCATCTGTGAAGGGGGTTGGAATAGCTGGCCCTTAAGGTTCCTTCCAACCTTATGAGTCTACTATTATTTATAGATACACATTATTAATAAATTGTCATTTTTGTTGTGCAATAAAGTACTACTGCATAAATCTTCCAAGTCCTGATTAACAGCAAAACAAAGAAGCAAGTCACCATATTTAAGAAACCTCACACTGTACAAACTATGGGGCTCTAAAAGGTCCACCTCCAGAAAACAACACTAGATCCATGAAAAAAAGTACATCTAAAAATTTAGAGACCTATGCCTCCATCTTACACTTCACTTCATCTTCAGGGCTACTTACCTGCATATTTGCAGAACTGAGACTTTAATTCTTACTTTTTTAGGAAACCTGGGAACAGATGAGAGTTTTCTAGAAAATAAACTCTTAATTCAGGTGTTTGGAAATCAGTAATGGGGATAAAACAAAAACCTATAAAGATTGAATAGAAGCTTGAGGGTAGAGGATCACAGTAGAAACTATCCTGCTAGAAATTCAGGCAGCTTCAAGTTCAGCCCATCACCCAAGAACATCAATAAAAGCTGAAGCTAATCTGTTCTCCATTTTTACCTTTCCATGCCCATCCCCCTTTCATCTTTGCCTCTTTTCCTCTTGCTCCATTTGAATCTCTTCTTTGTTCATTCCCTGCTTTACCTGTGACAGGTACAGATGTTGTCTATGTTGTATCAGGGTTGACAGTAGTCTTATGTAGAGTTTAGTTGATGGATTGTATAGGATGGTTTGGTTAGAGATGATCCTGCTTCAGACAGGAGACCAGACTAGGTAACCCCGGAGATCCCTTCCAGCCCTCTACAATTCTCTGCTTAACCCTTCTTTCTTCAATATCAATGGTCTTCTTTTGCAATCACTTAAATACTTTTCCATTTCCCACACTTCTTGTCTAGCCATAATAACGAGAAGCCATTCTTTTCAGATAATTAAAAAAATCTTTTGTAAATGGAAATTTATAATCCCATTTCCAATGCTATGGATGATCCCCATATCACTTAGCATAGGCACTATCGTTTAGGATTCAGCTGCTACACTCAAGTTTGTAAATGTATAAAAATCAAGAATTAATATGTACCAGATTTACTGTTCATTTCCAACTCCATAAAACTAGAAAATGGATGACAAGCTCCAGTAATTTGGTCTTGATTAATCAAGAGCTATTTAATCTTTTTCCTGAAACACAAAAGGCCAAATGATCAAAAGATATAAAGTAGTTTCTGCAATACATTAGTGACCTCTCTAATGTATTAGGGAACAACCATAATCAGCTAGCAAAGTAGTAATGCTATTCAAAAATTTAAAAAATCAGCATTGGGAGGTAAAAAAGCTGTACCACCATCCCATAAAAATTAAGTTTTTAAGTATTTTAAGCATAAAGTACAAAAAGGGAAGCTTTTTTTTTTCTTTGCCATTCATCCAGCATTCCTCCTTGCTTTTCAAGATGATAAAACCTATGCCACAGTTCTGACAGGTCACAATTAGTTCACTACAACAGGAAAAATGCAGATTGAGTCAGACAAGCACTTCCAGCATTTCCTTTTATGTCTTCCAAATGCTGATGGTTGTTCAGTGGCTGATGCTGCAAACACAGGAGTAGAGTATGTGCAAAGAGAAGTGTTAACTCACAATATATTAGGAAAGTAACGTCTTTACAATTGCTTTGTACCCAATTTTTGAATAAGCATATAAATATCACATGCTCAATTAGGGCAATACTCAGCTCAGGACCCTCTTTCAAAACCTTGCTTACCACGAAGCTCACAAAATACCACCCAGTCTAACAACTACCGCATCAGATTTCTGTTAAGCATCCTTAGCAGGTTTAGAGGGCTGCAATAAGACCAGTAAATCCATATATGAGCAATGTCTCTCTAGCAGTGTTTACAGCTTACTGTCTAGCATGGCTAATAATGTGGAAAATCTTCTCCTCCTCTGTTTCAAAGCTGTCTTCCACTGCCTAGAAGTTTCATATGTTACAAGTCAATAGTCAATTTTTTTTTAATCAACTACTGATTTTGTTTGTCTCCCCCATTTCAAAATGGGCACAAATGTACAAAGCCTTGACATTTTCAGCAGCGTTCATGGAAGCTGCAGGTTCTCAGCAGCTCTGACAGGCTCAAGCATCTCAAAACCAAGTGAACAAAAATTAAGCCACTTTTGACCATTTGATCTACATGTGCTCCTGAATATGCAGGGAGGGTTTGACTCTCAAAAAGGAGATTATATTCTCCAAGGTGGCTCGCATCTGCTTCCTATTTAGATCAGTCGACTTTGGCTCATCTCCATGAAACACTTCAAAGACAGAAACAAACAATTCAAAGTAGATGCCCCTCTCCTTTTTTTCCTACTGTTGATCTAGCAACAGATAGCTTTTGAGTGTGGGACTGTGACTTGAATTCCATGTTGCCCAGACGCTCTTAGATTAATGCAATAAGATTCAAGGCAAAGTTCAGCCCCCAAAAACAGCTGCAGTTCCAACAAAGTTAAAAATTTGGTCTAAAAGACCTGAATTGGTTCCACTCTGGGAAGGTATCTACAAAGTACTCAGCAATGCTATGGAAGACCTTTAACCTGGAATAGGTTATTTGGAGTGGGCTCTTCCAAAGCCTGAGGATTTTCCTGGTGGCACTGCAGTGGGGTCACACCTTGAATAGCTTGTCCCTCTGGCACAGGGGGGAAGAGGGCCGAGGGCCAACAGAGGCAAAGGGCCAAGATTCGTATTTACTCTCATCCACAAACTCAATGCAGACTGAAACTGTCACTCACCACCTTTCCCATGCCACTGTGTACTATTTCATAGACTTCATAGATTTCATAGACATGAGGGCTGGAAGGGACCTCGGAAGATCATCGAGTCCAGCCCCCTGCCCAAAGGGCAGGAAGTCAGCTGGGGTCATAGGATCCCAGCAAGATGAGCATCCAGTTTGCTTTTGAAGGTGTTCAGTGTGGGCGCTTGACTCCGGTGGCAGGCTGTTCCAGACCTTGGGGGCTCGGACAGTAAAGAAATTCTTATGTCCAGCCTGAAACGGTCTTGTAGTAGTTTATGACCATTCGACCTAGTCGTCATCCCTTGGGGCGCTCTGGTGAACAAACGTTCGCCCAGATACTGGTGGTCACCCCTGATAAACTTATAGGTGGCCATCAGATCACCCCTGAGCCCACGCTTTTCCAGGCTAAAGAGCCCCAGGGCTCTCAGCCTG